GATCAGTTTGACATCTTTTCGTTTTCTTTCATCTTCCATTGTTTTTCCATATACTGCATTAATCATAAGCTTGTAAAATAATTTTTCAAACTCATTTTTAGCTTTCTTTCTTTTTTCAGTATTTAAATCAACATATGGTTTCAGCCATTGTTTTTGTTTGAATTCTAGCGCTCTATATATCTTTTTGAGTTTTAGTCCATATTTGAGAGCTTGTTTTAACGCTCTATAATGAATAACGTATCGTTCTTTATCATAAAGCGTTGTCAAAAGTTTTTTCTGTTTTGATCCGAGTGGTTTAGTATGTTCAGGACAAAGAGGTAGGTCTTTATGTTCATCATGCAGCTCTTGTGGATACTCTAGATCTACTTCCAAAATATAGCCTACGTCGCTATCATCAGAGATATTGAAAAAATTTGACATATCCACATTTGAAACCCATTTGAAGCCCTCAAATGGTAGTGATTGAGTCATAGCCCAACCATAAAGGTTGTTTACGTCATAATACATTAAAAATTTGTTTGGCTCATCCTTATTGAATTCTTCACCCATATATTTATTGTTTGCTTTTGAAAATCTATTGCAGCATTGACTAATACCTCCACGAATACCTTTTTGAATTAATAAAGACATATCTATATCTGTTAATAGTTCAAGCTTCATATTTGTATATTTTAACATCGCGTCCCATGTTAATCCAGGAGTAGTGTAATAATGAGCAAGATCGAGATCGTATGCATTCTTATAGGTTGATCGAAAATTCTCAAAAATATCAGCTAGTAAAAGTACATCAGTTTTCAGATAGAGATCAGAATACATTCGTAAATCTATTTTCTTCCAAATACTACCGAAAATATTCCATACGTTTTGAGCATGCTTATATTCTTCAGTAGGAATATCACTATCTGTTAATTGACTATGAAATTTTTCAATAGATGGTAACTCTGTCTCAGTTAGTCTATTTAAATTTTGTATGTATTCATATGGGAAAACTCCTTTTCTTTTGAGTAAATTAATCTGTTCTAAAGTGTAATTATCTTTCTGAAATTCTTTCTGTACAATATCTAGCTGAGGTAAATAATATGCTAATTTATCTAGAGATGTAGGCATAAATCGAAAGGAATCAATGAAACGAAAGCTAATTCAACTGTTTGCAACTTCTTTTGTGAAGGATATGTATCGCTCCTTGTTTTCAGCGAGAACAGAGATCTTTCCTTCAAATTCTGAGTTAGTAGCAATTTCTGTTATAATAAAATGTGAGTCATAGACTGTAAAGTTATGAAATACGACTGGTATGAAAGCAGCATTTTTATAATTCAAATTGCAATGATTGTGAGCTGCACCTCTAAATTTTCCTGTTAAATGACAATGATCACGAACTCGTTTTTGGTTATCTTGAAAATATTGGTTGCAAATATGACATCTTCTTGCCATTTTGAATGTCTGTTCATTAATAAATGATAAATCCATTTTTATTGCATTATTATATATCTCTTCTAACTCAATCACTAGGGATTTCAATTGCTTTATAAACCATAATGCTGGTGATTCGTCTTCATTTAATTTTTTTCTATATGACTTATATATCGACTTACTATCATCATAACGGCATTTTACATATAATTCAATGCTATAGGCTTCATGTTCTTGGAAACTATGTCTCTTAACATTGAGATTTCTATTCGGATCTTCTATAGGTATTAACAGACATTCAAAATCCGCGTATATAATAAATGGAACTTCCTTTTTATGTTTAAAATTTTTAAATTCTAAAGTAGCATCCTCAGGTAAATTAATCCGACACTTATTTATTTTGGAACAGTCAACTTCATGAGATTTCAAATTTTCCTTGTTAGTAAAATAATGAAGGCAACGTTCGCAAAGATAAATTTTTTCAGTATGTTGAGTAACTTGTCTACGAAGGAGAGCAGATAAAGTTTTAATCAATACGTAGTGAGTTTCTAATTTGAATTTTTCATCATCTATTGATATTCGTGGTCTATTAGTCTCATTTTCATCAATATATTCGTTTTGTATTAAGAGTAAGTTCACATGTTTAGTTTGTTTTAATTTCGTTATATAGCACGGTAGGACTTCATATTTCGATCCATATTTTTTTAGTATATATAAATTTACACTTATATTATTCAACTTTTCAAATTTAGGAATACTTTTTATTTTTACAGGGAAGCTTATACCATCAAAATTCAGTTCATTCTCATAGGGCTTGTACTTAATTACTCTGTTTGGATTTCTTGCAACTGGATAAAGGCATGAAAGTATAGCCCATTTAAAACATTCATTGTCTTCATTTTTAACATTAACACAGGCTCTTTTATTATCTATGCTTGACCGTAATGGTATATATGAGCATGGTTTAAATGGATTATACTTATTTATATTAATAGTGAGACCGACAATAGTTTTTAACGACCAGCCTGAGTCTCTTTCTTGAAATTCTTCGATTTGTTTAAGTATAATATCTTTAACGTTATTTTCAAACCATCTATCAAGATCAGTAGTCTTATAAATGCAAACATTTTCTGTATTGAAATACTTGATTTGAATATCTTCTTCTTGATTTTTCTTTATGATAAATTGTGATGCCATTTCTGTATTTATTTTTAAGTTATTATGGATAGCAAGAAATTGAGGTATTTTAATTTGTAATAGTTGATTTGCGGCAACTAGAAATGTTTTTATATCTAAATGATGTTGATTAACTGTACAGACTGTACTAATTCGATTTTCAAAGGCTGAATGAATTGGTCTCCAAACAACTCCATCTCGTAGAATTTCATCCTGAATAGCTGTTAATGGTTGTATACTTTTATACTTTTACTTAAATTGACTTCAATAGAATTCAAATGACTAGCACAAGTTTGACACCTTTGTTGAATTGCTCTACTTAAATCAGATCGTTTCATAAATTCATTAATTGAAATTATAGCATTAACTGTTAGATTTCTCCATCTAATACAATCGTCTATATCTAAATCGTTCGAATGGTTATAAGCTTTCCATAAATTTTTAATTGTTTCTTCAAAATAGGCGATAGAAGTCATGTTGTTAGTTATCTAGTTTTTATTGTCTTGTACAGTCACTTGTGTATAGTTGTATAAAGGATTATTATGATGAAAGAATGGAAAAGGTAGTGAACAGCTCTAAAATGAACTTGTTCTCAGTTGGTAATGAATATTGATTTGTTTAACAAATCAATAAGGATTCAACTAACTACTGAGGAACTACTTGCAAATGGCGTAAGGTAAGGCAAGTTTAGCTCGCAGGCTGTCTCGAGAGACTGCGCTCTTTTGCTAGGCCAAAGCTGCTTTTAAAGGTTAAGTGAGGGCGCTGTCAGCAAACTGAGGGCGCTGCCAGCAAACTGAGGGCGCTGCCTACAAAATGTGGACGCTGTAGGTAGTATATGGAAGGGTTAGCTCAAACGAAAGAGTGGGGGTGAACCGACTGTATCACCATCTAACTTATTAATTTAGTATTAAAGGGTTTATATATAGATCTTCAGAATAAAAATATAGTCATTATTGCTTTGAGATACGATTCAGCTCACATATTATAGAGAATAATGGGATTTATACTCTAAGATGGACTATATTTTAGATATTCAAGGCTTTCAGAGTCTTAATAATACTTTTATTAGTAAGGAGTTTGCCTTTTTACCAGTATGTTCTAATACTTCACCTACAGTACTACTTTTTAAACCTCCATATCATTGGCTCAAACTGTCTATTGAATATCAAAGTGTTAATAAGTGTTTGGAATTACATCATCATGGTATTTATTTTTATTATCGTTAATTAACATTGATTTTATTTGAAATATTTAATATAATCAATTTTATAGGTATATTATGGAGAAATGGTATTTTACCATATAATTTTTTAAATTGTACTATACGTAGTCATTTACATAATTGTAGAAATCTTTATGTGAAAGGATTACAAAAGAAGAAATGGCTCAAAAAAATTATTCCTGAAAAGTAGGTTCAAATAACATACAATAGTACAAAAATCTAAATTCGAATTTAATTAGTTTTTTTTTTAACCCATTACGGCCTAGCAGGACGTTTTTCGGTTGCACTTTTGAACCACTGTATTTTTAGTATAATCGGGGTCTCAGAAATATCGGAGTAGTCATTTTCGACGTAAAATTTGATGATCTTTCAGAATCTGACCTTCGATTTTGCAAAAGATGAGTGGTTTAAAAGTTATAAACAAATTTATTAAAAAAAAACATGGTTTGAGAAAAAAAAATCGCTTTCATTTCGATTTTCAAAATGGAAATCATTGAAATACTTGCGTCATACGTACAAATATCGCGTTTTTGAACCCTAAACTAATAGTTATGACGATTTAGATCGACTGAAAAACGTTTAAACGCACAAAATGGCAAAATGAAAAAATGAAATAAAAAATTTCGGAATTTTTAACTCGAAAACGAAGAGCTTTAGGGAAAAAAGTTATAGAACAAAAAGCGCTTAGAATATATCAGAAAACTCGTGTGAATTTTTTCAGAATTTTCGGAGGTGATTTTGTAAAATCGGATTTCCCATATTTTCCGAAAATCTAAAAATCTATCAAAAAATTCTGAAAAAATTCACACGTGTTCTCTGATATCTTCTAAGCACTTTTTGTTTTATAAATTTTTTCCCTAAAGGCCTTCGTTTCCGAGTTAAAAATTCTGAAAGTCTTTTTTTTCACGCATCTAATTTACTACGCTGTTTATGCATATTTTCCTTTGTATCGATATTCATATCACTGGAAGTTGTTAAAATTTTACTGTATCAACTTACAAAGTACTTTTCCGATAAACCGAATTCCATCATCATTATTATTAACGTAATATCCTCAAAACAAATAAAATTTTCAAATATTTATTCCCAATATTTTTGAACATAATCTATAACATTTTCATCTTCTTCAAATATTTTTTGAATCTCTTCGTCTTTTTATCTTCTTGATAACTTTTGTACATTTCCTCATAATATGTCACATTCCATGGCAAAGCGTCGAAAAAAATCTGATTACGTTCAAAGTATAGAAATTGCAGAACATGAAGATGGACATTCAGAAGCACTCATCATCCCTGATGATAACTATTCTGACTATCCATCTTCTGATTCTGAATCTGATGATTTCGATAAAAAACAGAATTCTATACCAAATGTCAGTTATTCTAAAGTACTGGACAGCTACGATGAAAATCAATCTAAATTAGAGCCAGACTACATTTATTCATGGAAAAATGGAGAATATAAGTATAATAATTACCCTGAAAATGAAAATCTGTTACCCGCAAAAACCATAAAGTTCATTCGTGACTCTTCTCTCGTAGAGTTATTTGAACTTTTCTTTTCTTTAGAGTTGAAAAATCACATAATTGATAGTACTCGTGAGAATGGTTATAATTTGACGATGATTGATTTAGATATTTTTGTGGGTATAATCATTACATCTATCTTCAATCAACGAAAGTCCCAAAGAGACTATTGGTCTAACAATTTATTGCTATCGTGTCCTATTATAATTGCAACAATGGCTCGAGACAAATTTCTTACAATCAAGTCGAAAATAAAATTCTCGAAACTAGAAGAACAAAGTTTAGATGACAGGGCTTGGAGGGTCAGAACAATCCTTGAAATTTTCAAAAAAAACGCTCAGAAATTCGGTTATTTTTCTACAGCTTTGTCTGTAGACGAAATGATGGTAAAATTTCATGGGAGAACTGTGTTACTCCAATTTATGAAGGACAAGCCGGCACGTTTTGGAATCAAAATGTGGGGAATTTGTAGTCCTGATGGATATCTATTCGACTGTGACATTTATTGTGGAAAAGGGTCAAATATCTATTCAACTCATAACGACGTAAAATTATGTAAATGTGCCTTGGGAAGCCGAGTCGTTTTAATGATGGTACAAAAGTTACTTTTATCCACTAGCGCAAAAAAAATTACGGAGTATCATTTATACTTCGATAATTTTTTTTGTAATCCCGATCTCATGATACACTTAAAAAAAATAGGTTTGAAAGCTACGGGAACAGTGAGAAGAAATAGGGTGAATATTGAAAATGAAGTGGACAAAAAAGCAGCAAGAGGTACTGTATCAGTAAAACATGAGGAGAAAAGCGGTTTGAATTTTATAACTGTGATGAATTCTAAGCCTGTCTCGATACTTTCAACGGTCGTTGGCGTTGAACCACTATCGAGTACAAAAAGATATTCGAAAGAATCAAAAAGTAAAATCGAGATACCTTTTCCTATGGCAAATAAACTTTATAATAAACATATGGGTGGTGTTGATTTGCACGACGGACATTGCAGTAACTTGATGCTATGTTTAAGAGCCAAAAAATGGACTTGGGCAATGTTCCTGCGCCTAATCCAGTCATCTCTTACGAATGCGCTTGTCCTTCATAATTTATCGAGCATTGAGAAAAAAATTGGTTCAAAAGACATTGCTCTGGCAATTGCTGAAAAATATTTAGCTAAAAAAACCGACGAACGACTTAAATGTCATATAAAGACATCAACTAAACATAGAAGAAATTGTGTCAATTTTAAAAAATGCTCAAAGAGAACAACAATTATGTGTATTGATTGCAAAGATTACTTTTGTGGCACCTGTTTCGATTTGAATCATAATAATTATTGATTTTTTTCATCTAAAATCATATTTTCAAAACTTAGAGATTAAAAAAAAAACAAAAAAAAACATTAAAAAAACATAAAATGAAAAAAAAAAATAAAAAAACATAAAATTGAAAAAAAATACATAAAAATCATAAAAAAGACAAACGAAAGGTTCTTTACATACATTTACCTCCACGTGGTAAGAATCGGGCATCGGACAAAATTATTTGACGGCTAAAAATGTATTATTGTTATTTAAACATTATGATGATGGAAAATGGTCAAAATACCTGTGCATAATCAGATGCGTGAAAAAAAAACTTTCAGAATTTTTAACTCGGAAACGAAGGCCTTTAAGGAAAAAAGTTATAGAACAAAAAGTGCTTAGAATATATCAAAAAACTCGTGTGAATTTTTTCAGAATTTTCGGAGGTGATTTTGTAAAATCGGATTTCCCATATTTTCCGAAAATCTAAAAATCTATCAAAAAATTCTGAAAAAATTCACACGTGTTCTTTGATATCTTCTAAGCACTTTTTGTTCTATAACTTTTTTCCCTAAAGCTCTTCGTTTTCGAGTTAAAAATTCCGAAATTTTTTATTTCATTTTTTTTGGCCTGGCCGCCATTTTGTGCGTTTAAACAGTTTTCAGTCGATTTAAATCGTCATAACTTTTAGTTTAGGGTTTGAAAACGCGATATTTGTACGTATGACGCAAGTATTTCAATGATTTCCATTTTGGAAATCGAAATGAAAGCGATTTTTTTTTCTCAAACTATGTTTTTTTTTAATAAATTTCTTTATAACTTTTAAACCACTCATCTTTTGCAAAATCGAAGGTCAGATTCTGAAAGATCATCAAATTTTACGTCGAAAATGACTACTCCGATATTTCTGAGACCCCGATTATACTAAAACTACAGTGGTTCAAAAGTGCAACCGAAAAACGTCCTGCTAGGCCGTAATGGGTTAATTACAGAAATATTTTAGATATCGAAACTGAAATGAGATGTCCGCGATTGGAAGATTTAAGTCTTAAATTTAAACCATCATGCATATATCATAGTTAAAATCGCGAGAATATAGTATGTGCTGCAGTAAATACACAAAAGATACACGATTGGATGATGGAAAGACAAAAACAAGCAAAATCAAAAGGGATCGACACAGTCGAAAGATTTACAGATGACTATAATTCATATAAAAATTCAACTGAATATTTAAAAATAGCTATGTCAGACACTGAACATAAAGATTATAGACAAAGTGTACTCTATTCAATGTATAATTAAAAATAATAAATATTAAATAAATAATAAATGTGTGCTTATTTAAATAGTAAAATAATCATAACAATTGTAAGAAAGGGTGAATGGATGGGAATAAGGTTCTCTCCTAGCAGAGATGTTTAGGAGGAACATCTCAAGGAGGTGTCAGTCGAGCGACTGCATTCGTAGTCTCTAGCATTCTCACGAAAACAGTTCCCTTCGTGGAGAAAGCACGTATTGACTATAGACAGCATACGCTCCCCTCCGCGCACCATGGTCCACGCTTAGCTAGAGCGTGGGAGAGAGAGAGAGAGAGAGAGAGAAAGAGAGAGAGCGCACGTTTACTACTACTATAGTAGCGCATCCCCATCAGGCCAGAACTATAGACAGCATGCGCTCCCCTCCTCCTCTACACACTGTGGTCCACGCTGAGTCAGAGCGTAGAAGAGAGAGAGAGAGAGAGAGAGAAAGAAAGAGAGAGCATACGTTTACTACTATAGTAGCGCATCCCCATCAGGCCAGAACTATAGACAGCATGCGCTCCCCTCCTCCTCCGCACGCTCGGGCCCTATACCAAATGTATGCGTGTGTAGCTAATATACATAATATGCATCCTCTAAGGTACATGTGGAATTGGCTCTAGTGGTAGAACGCTAGCCTGCCAACCCAGAGGACTCCGGTTCGATTCTCCGGTCTGTCTCTTCATTTTTTTCAAAAAATCGTCGCTATTTTCTATTCGTTTCATTCTCAATGTAGCAAGTAAATTGTTAATAATATATATTTATAACTTAAAAAAAAAACATTTAAATTTAATTAGACTGAAAGCACTAGGTATAGGGTCCCTAGGGACTAGGAGCCCTAGGGACTAGGAGCCCTAGAAACTTTCCTCAAAAATTAGAAACAATTATTAACATTAATAGTAATAATTAACATGGAAGGGATAGAGGCCAGGGAATCAAAGGGTTAAACCAAGGGACCTCCCACGAATATTGTTAATAATAATTGTTAACAATAATAATTATTATTAACATGAAAGGGTTAAGCCAGGGGGCCAAAGGGTTAAGCCCGGTGGGGTCAAAGGGTTACAGACCCCCCGCAGGTGTGCTGGAACATACATTGCTATACTACTGGAATCCTTCGATTCACTCCTCTTGGCGTGAACGAAGGTTTGTCTGCAGCTATGCATCTTCTGCTCAGCTCCTCTACGTAAGATCCATCATCTCTTGTGTTCATTACTCTTAACAGGTACTTCGTAAATTTACTAGCATCTTTTACGTTAAGGAAATTCTTCCAGTCGTCGTATAACATTTTAAAACTTTCATTGAACCATATGTACGTTGTCTTAAAATAAAAGTAGTCCTTTTATCATTTCTTTTTGCAATATTATTATCAAGAAAGATAAAACTGTCATGCGAGTAGACTTTAAAATTAATTTTTAGAACGTAATCAACGACAAGATAGTGTATACTAACCGTAACGCCACCATTATTGGTAATGTTTTCTTTGTGACCAAAGTTGGAAAAATATGTTGACTTTTGATCGGGAATACTGGTCTCACTGTTCTCATCATTATTGGTTGCTATGTCAAGGTTACTTGAATCATTCACATTGTTGTCATTAGATTTTTCACTAGTATTTTTATGAAAAATCTTTTTTGGCTTTTGTTTTTTTTTTTAAATTTCGTGATAACATATCAAATTCACGCTTGGACAGCTCAGTCCTGTCAGAAGAGTTACTTGAGCCTGCTTGGTATAAATCAATATTTTCATAATCTAAGATACCCGAATCGAGAGATTCTTCATTTTCTATGGATTTTGAGACATTCATATCTTTTGACCTTTTTTCTGGTATCATTTTTTCTGGAGATATTTCATCTTTGAAATCTAATTTTCCTAAAAAAGTTTATTTCATTATATAAAATAAAATAAAAAAAATAATTTTTTGAAGTGCTTTAGAGATTGAAAAAACTCCGACACAAGTATGTAATATATAATGGGCATTACTTTAAAGGGAACAAAATGAATATTCATGATTAAATAAATACTTTTTGAAAATATAGACAATTCGCAATACTTTTTGTACAGACCTCATATGTTTTTTCAATATTTCAAGCTTTCTAGCCTGGATAGTCATATGAAGAATAATAAAAATTTATCCTATTAATGACTACTTGAATTAAATCGAGTACAATAGTTTCGAGAAATTTATAGGTTAGACAATATGTTTGTAACTTTTTAAAAACTGTTAATGACAATTTATCTATCAATTAATACATAATGTATTGTTATTAGGTTTCACTTCCAAATGTGGCTTTTTCATCGATGCAAGATCAATTGAGTCATTTAATTGTGAATCCTTCAATTCATCGACAACTTCAGGTTTATCATCTGAGAATATTTTTATATTACTCTCGTCTGAAGCTGCATAAGAACCATCTACATTCGACGTAACATATTTATGATTTTGATTTTCCTTTGTAGTGTCTATATGCAACATTTTTGTCGGAGTCGACGTGTTACTAATTGGCGTCATCTCAATCTTAAGAAAATTATTTAAAAAAATCATTATCAATTGAACAAATAATGGTAACATTATAGGGGAAGTGGAGGTGAGTGGGGAATTAGTTATCCTGGAAGATAAACTGAGTGCACAAACTGGCAAATGAATATAAAAAATATTTCAAAGTATATTTTCGGATACGTCAGTCGTACAGCTGCAGGTAAATGCATAAAAATTAGTTATTTCGATTATTAGAACGCACAAAATTGATAACATGACTTCTTTACCAAAGTAAACCATATTAGTGAGATTTGATTCCAGCATTGACCTTAAGGGTCTTAGTCAGTGTTTCAGGTTGCACAAATCTACTTTTTGTTTACCTTTTAGAATTATTCAAAATAATATTAGTAAAATTTACTACGAATCAGAAATACGATTACCTCATATGGTTTTTGTTGACAGTTATTTTTTTTTTGTTTCATGAATTGATTTCAATTTTTCTTCTAAATTAAGGTTTCTTATCTGTAACCTTTCATTAATGATTCTGTAGGTTTCTAAGCGCTCGTTAAGTAGATCAATTGTATTTCGTAATCTGTTTTGCTGCATTTTTAAATCGGATTGTTCTTTTCTCAAGTTTTTAATCGTATCTTCTAAGCTATTTCTTTCGGAATATTTTATATTTTCTATATTGAAATCTCTACATGAATTCCCTTGTACAGCACTGTGTTCCTTTTCATCTACATTATCATCACGTTCTATTTCTTCATTGTTTAGTAACAAAGTTGGTGCATTTGTAAATTGTTGTTCTTTAATTTTTAAAAGGCTATCTTGGAGCTCTTTGTCGTACATCTACAAATTAAAATTAGTTTATTGTATCATTTGCAACGGTAGTCAATTTAATTAATCGAACCGTTCACGATTCTGCTTCTCGCGCGTTAGTTCTAACAGTTAAGAGAGAGAGGGGCGCGCGATCTTTTGAATAAGCAGTTACGCCTCAGCTGTGAACGCGAGTTTACCGCCGATTTATGTTTTGCACTTTGTTTCGTAAAAAGTAAAGTTTTCTGGAAAAATTACGTGCGTGTGTGCAACAATAGTATTGCAGCAGCAAACAGCGGTGAAGCAGCAGCAGATTGCAGTATATAAAGGCGAATGGAGGCAGTGCAGCTGATAATCGAGGGGCAGCGGCAGTTGAGATTTTTGCAACAACAATTACGGCAGATCACCGTAATTGCACCGCATGGTAGGTGCACCTTCCG